ATCTTTTCAGATAACCAAAGGAAGCATGCCCCAAACGTCGATGCCACAACCATATTTCAGATTTCTTTTTCTCCCCCTCAGAACCATCCACTGTCAATGCCTGTCGTAGCTTGTCGGAAGTTGTTGACACCACGTCCAAGTAATACAGTTTCCCTCGCCTAATACCACAACCAATCGTCTGCTTTGTTTGGATGTCCTTAAACACACAAAAATTAGGCCAAAAAATTACAACACAAGATAAAGCTGTGGTTATTTGGGAAACTGACAAAAGATTATTAGCTAAAGATGGAATAACTAAAATAGAATCTAAATGCATATTATCAGTGACTGTCAAAGAGCCTTCCCCAATAACTGGGGTCGAAGTACCATTGGCAGTAGAAATAAATTTTTGAGAGGAGGAATTAAGAGGGGAGACCTGTCTAGAATCAAATGTCATATGATCTGTAGCACCAGAATCAATTATCCATGCACTATTAACAACAGGTGTAGAAATATTTAAAACCTTACCACCATTATCTCCAGTTACTACCAACCCCAAGGCATTTTCAGTACCATCATCATCTGTCTTAACAATTGCTGTAGTGGAGGACTTCGTCGAATTCTTCTTCCAACGACTATGATCCCACCATTCTGGATATTCCACAAGTTCAAAACAGCGACTTTTGGTATGACCAGTCTGATTGTAATAGGTACATTTGTAGGTAGACTTGTCTGCACCGTTGGTAGCTTTAGATGGATTGGGTTTATTACGGTCCTGCCAATTTTGCTTAGACCTGTTTCGAGCCATCATTACTGAAGCTTCAAAGTTTTTGGATTCCCCTTTCAGAGTTGCACGACGTACCGTTTCTCGTCGAACCAACGAGTAGCAGCCTTCCAAGTCTGGAACTGGATCGTTGCGTAGAATTTTTCCACGAACCTGTTCAAAATCACCATCCAATCCGGCGAGAAAGATGTGAACCCTTAGTCGCTCGATAGACTTCCGATATGCTTCAATGTCATCTGGATCTTTTATGACCACTTTATCTCGATGGTTCATTTCTCGGAAAACCTCAGTTAGTTCTCCATAATATTCAGATAGAGATTTTCCACTTTGTTTGGCGGTGAAGGCCTTTTGGTTCAAGGCGAAAACTTGTAACTCATCATTCCCATTATAAAAGGCCTTTGATAGAGCACTCCAGATTTCGTGGGCAGTGGGTAAGCGTAAATAACGCTTCATAATTTCTGGAGTCATGGACATTAATAGCCACCGCTTCACTTTCTGATTTTCGGCATACCATTTGTCATAACCATCTTCTGATTCAGAAGGTGGCTTAGTCTTGCCACGAATATATGAGAGTTTCTCCCTTTCAGCAATATGCATCTCCATCAGTTGGGACCAAACATCATAATTGGATTAAGTAAGACTAATCCCTGCATTAAAAACACCTTCAAATTGAACAAAAATAGGAACTGATTTCGTCCCAAAGGATTCAATATTTTTTTCACTCATTTTTTTTTTACAATATATATATATATATATATATATATATATATTAATAAACTAAAATAAATACAAAAACAAAATATTAACTTCTCTGTTAAGTGTTAACAGAGAAGTATCCAATATAAAAACAAAACCAGAAGAAAAAACTGGATGAGAGGGGTAGTGGCAGAGAACGACTTGATCCGGCGATGCGACGGCGATGATGGAGATCCGACGCCACGACGAGATCCGGTAAGGCAGCAGTTTGACGAGATCCGGCGAGGCAGCGGTTTGACGTGAGCCGACGATGCGATGCAAAGATCCAGCGATGCACTGGCGAGGTGCAGTGGTTCATTGCCGGCAGGCAGCAAAGCAAATCCGGCGACGGCGATACAGATTCGTCGAGGTGCAGCGGTTTGGTTACGGCTGTGGCTTGTGACGACAGCGCCTTGTGCTGGTAGTGGCTGAGACTTGTGATGGCGGCGGCTGCGGCTTCGTCATCGTCATTTCAGATTCAGATCCGGCGAGATCTACAGTGGTTTGGCAGCGGCTTGTGATGGGTGCATCAGTGGTGACTGTATGTGTATCTGTATGGGTCTGTGACTTGATGTGTATGTGTATGTGTATGTTTATGTTGTATGGGTATGGTTATATTGTATGATTCAATGAATTTAAAAAATAAATTCAAAGGGATTCAAACAATACAGTTAAAACCTGGCTCTGATACCATCTTGAAATTATTCACGATGGTGTTACATTCAATTTATAGAGTAATATCTAGCTAAAATAAGTAACTAAATATACAATAATCGGGAAACTAATTATCTACCAAGCCCTAAATTAAGGAGAAAACAATGCAATCCTACAGCTGTACAATCTGTATAATCTCGGATTACAAAAAATAAAATCTCAACACAAAGATTGGTCCTCCATTCGTCTGGTGTTCCGAAGTGCCAAGTTTACGCTCTGTAACTCACTTGGGCCCTTCCAGCGAGACAACCTAGAGGAGAATCGGAGAAGAAGGTAGAGGAAGCCATCCTATATAAGGCATACATTCATGGGGCAAAGCCCCAAAACTCTGATGAAACAGAGGACCTTAAAGAGACATCGAATTTGGACACTAGTCCTAGATAAGTCATAAGTATTACTAGGAGAACACCCATGCATCAATTCTTCATGTGAGGGCAATTAGGGGTGTGAGTTTCTTGTCTGGATAATAAATAAATAAATAAAGTTAGAAAATTAAAATTAAAAAGATTAGAAAGGTCACATACTAGTTCATTTGTTCATGAGTCAAGCGTTGTATTTATAAGAATGTTGGCCTTGATGCTGCGCTCTTGCACATTGAAATAGTAGCCTCCGTGTGGCCTGCAATGGGCTATGTTGTGTGCGCCAAAACGGTATCATTTGGATGCACATGAACGAATTGTGTGTTGTGCGTTGAAACTGTATCATTTGGATGCACATGAGTGAGCTTTGTGTTGTGCACCGAAAGAGTATAATTTAGATGCAGAGGAGCAACACAGGATTTTCCATTCGCATATGAGGGGATCCGGATTCTTATTGATGACTTTTGTCATAAAGGTCATGATTTGAAGTCTACATTTGAAAATATCTATCTTTTTTTTTTTAATGTAATTTTGATAAATATAGCTATAATTCATCATGATGAATATACAAAGACACTGATGGACTCAGAAAATTATTTGAGCGTCAGCGTTGAACAATAATTAAAAAAAAAAACATCAAACTATCATAATAAACAATAAAAATATTATTAATTAATATTTTTCTTTAGTAAGATTCAATTTGATTGCAAAATTTAATGGCAAACCTTATAAGATTTAAGTGTAACCTGATTGGAAAATTTTAAACCATAATAAACAAATAAATAAATTTCACTATTATGAAAATTATCATATATAAATATATATATACACACATACTGAGAGAATATTCGAGACCAAACGAAAACAAAGACAGTAAAAAATGTGGTTCTTGTAAAAGTAGTCAACCTTCACAAGTTTGTGTGTGAGAGAAAAAGAGAGACATTGACAGGAGGCAGAGAGCAAGAGATCGCGAGAGTTAGAAAGAGTGCATTACTCATTAGGGCTCCAAAAATTCATTAGGCCACAAGCGTAGATGGTGAAATTTTGTCATAATTATGTGATGGTATTTTTAAAAAGTTTAACAAAATTATAGATATGTAATATAAATAAATAAAAGTTCAGTGGGACCCTTACTTGTGTAGGTCCATTCTGAAAGGACCTCTCAATGTATATCAATTAATGCGGTCTCAATATCCTTAAAAATATGTGCCATTTTAGGTAATAAATATGTTAGTCCAATGAAATCAACTTCAACAAATTTGATCCACAACTCCAAGGCAGGCAAGTCACACTGCTTACTGGCGTGGTCCAAGTACATGGTCGGGAGGATATTTTCATAAGTGACCGTGCTACAATTTGACAACCTGTCTTGGATTTACTATAGCCTCTCAGACCTTTGTAGGTTGTCTCAGACAAGACTACAGTTTTCTTTTCATATGAAAAATAGTAAGGTAGCATACTAGCATGTAAGACTTGTTTCATTTGTAATTTGAAAATAATTTTTTATTTTTAATCGTATAATTTTTTTTTTTGTGATTCTATTTTTTAAAAATTCAGTTATAAAATGACTTATTTTTAAAGAAATGTCAATTCTCTAAAACTGTTTTACTTCTCTAAATTCTTGAGAATCATTTTTAAAGTTACAAATCAACCAAACCCTAAAATTGTGACAATCCTTGTCTTAAATTTAGTATTTGGTAATATAACACTTGTTATAAAAATTTTGAAAATAAAAATATGAAAACATGTTTGTAAAAAAGTGTTGCAAGATTGGAAAAAAAAATATTTAGTTAGTCATTTTGATTGATTTATTTATTTATTATTATTATTTTTTTATATAGTGTTTTTACTACAATGTGAAAGCATTAGGAAAACACGAAACAAAAATGGTGTCAATTTGGACCTCTTTTCGAAAACACCAAAATAATTTTTTTTCAATTTGTACCTCGCAACATCAAAATAAAAGCTACCAAATGTGGTATTTTTCTTACCTTGTCTGCAGCAGAAAACAAGAAACAAGGGCGATTGTCAAACATACCCGAAATAATATTTTAGTAATGTAAGCAAAATTAAGTCTCAAGAGTAACTTGTATAATTTTTTACTTGCTAATGGCAAAATAATAATAATAATAATAATAATTAATAAATAAATAAGGAAGATCTATGTAATTTCACTTTAATCGGAGAAGATAATTAATTTTATTTTAAGCTCTTTTAGTTACTTTAATAAGTGTGCTGAGTAAAATGAGCATTAGCATGAGAAATTGAGAATCCTTGTTCTTATCTTCCATATAATGATGTGTAAAGATTAGGGATACCAACCTAATCCAACTTAGTTGTGTCCAAGCTGTCCTCACTTGTCTTCAAAGGCTGGGATTGTGCCATTGTGGGATTGTGCGACTGTGGATAAGCCTTCCACCTATTATATGTACATTACCAATAATGTCCCTTTCTATAATGGGAATCCAAATCCACTATCCATACATGTATTAAATTTGTACTTCTCATTAAGTATACCCTAACAATCTGTTGCTATCTTTATAGTAATTTTTTTACAATATGTGTTGGCCTCCGTTGGACTGAAACAAAAGGTACATAGCAATATTTATTTCTGTAGAATGTGACGCCCACAATCGTCTCAGATAGGTTGGTAATTTGGTCCCCACTAGAAATGTTTTCTTATCTATCATCCCCACCTTTTCATTGTTCCGACGAAATTGGGATTCCGTTGGCTAGCAAGAAAAAGAGCGGCAAATTTTGTTGATGTACCAGTCTTAAGAGAGAAATTCTCAAACATTTGACGATCTCAGATGTGTCAATACTCATATAAATCATTTCTTCGAAACGAAGACGGTTATGTAAACACTTGTTCGAAGTCTCACTTATTAGATTCCACTGTGGAAGATAATTTTTTTGACTGCTACCTAACATCGGCAATAGGTAATTTTAGATATTTGTACCCTGTCATGGATTGAAAACTTACATTAGCATAAAACTTTTTGTAAACACAAATATATACAGGAATCTGAATCTTAAAAATATACGAAGAACAAAACTGAAAAATAGAATTCATGCAATCAATTTCAATAATTCAAAAGGACTATTACTTATGTTAACAATAGGCATGGGGCAGTCTCAGCCCGTGAGAGACAGGTTGTTGAGCTGGAGCATTTCGGTAAAAGCACCAGCAATTATTGGAACAATGATCAGAAGAGTAGGGCTCACCCCAAAGCCAAACCATACAACTATAAGAAATTATTACATGGTCCTAATCAATGATCCCGACCCCAGCCATCACGAAGCAATACATAAGCAAAAAAGTTGATTGAAAATGACATAACAACTACATACCAAGGCTTGTGGTCCAATGATATCTCCTGGGAATAGAGAGGGTTCAAGGTTCTCTAACAGTATTGTAAGAGTTATTTTCCGGGACAAAATAGATAAATAAATAATTAATTAAAATTAATTGTGGATTTCCATGCCAATTTCATCTTAGTTTAGGGATCGAGTCTGTTAGACAAGTCTAGACAGCATCAATGTAATCGCATAAGCAATAGATATATACAATTGTAAAGGTTCATGGGTGGTGCTAACGAACTAATATTTCACAAACGAATAAACCATTCCTAACTAAACAATGCAAATCATACAATAGTTCCTAACCCCAGTGGCTCTACCTTATTTATTTCAATCCAACTAATGATAAAGCCACAAGAGGGTTTTCAGAGGATACATCAATTAATCAATCGATTAATTGATTGATTATTGAAAATGATTGAAGCACGGACACGGGAAACAAGCAGTTTCCTCACCGCTGGAAATCTGCAAATTTCCAAATTTCAAGCATATTATTGTAGAGGATAACAGAGATTTTACACCAGAGATAGGTGGGTTTTGTGCACATCAGGCCTTCAGGTACCCTTTCTGCTCCAAGTACGATATCACCGTTTCAGCCATCTCACTTGGTGCAGTACATACCTCTCCTTTTTGTTCTAATACAATCTGCAAGATGGAAACTCGAACATCATAAATAAGCAGGAAGAAAAAAAACAATGAACATTTGAATATAACATTTGTTTTTATAGTAATACTAGGTAAAGTTGATCCAAAAGAGGCTTCAACCTTCTTATGTTCACATGAACGGAAGTGTGAAAGGTTGCTAATGAAAATCAGAGACTTTCCTCGAGATCATCTCAGTTTGTTCATATGGGAAATCCAAAATAGGAAACACCCTTCTACCACATGCCGGCTTGTCAAGTCAGAAGATGCTTGCCACGTGTATGTGTGTGAGGGAGATTATGCAAAACATTTCAAGACTCTAGGTTTTACTCTAGAGGGTATACATACCTCAGAATTCAATGGCGTCTCATAGGGATCATCAATCCCCGTAAAGCCTGCAAGATGCCAGAGTAAAGAAACACTTGTAAAACTCAGGACTAATCCACCCAAAGAAAGATGGAGAGAGGAAACATACGCGCGCAAAAAAAGAAGGAAAAACACACACACAGCATGATGAATTTAACCATCACTAAAATAACCGAGGCACAAACCAAACAGAAGTGGCAAAATGTGGATTTTAGTTTCCTCAGATAGCTGAGATGAAAAAGAGTTACGACATTTTACTCTTATAGTTTAGGTGTCAAAAGAGTGATGTACTAGCAAGTAGCAATTTCACTTCAGTAGTCTTCAATAAGCATGTGAACAAGCTACCATAATTATTCCAAATGGTTATATTGTTTAGCACAGTACCCCCCTAGACAATAACCGGTAATGGTAACATTCTGTTAGAGGAAACTAGAGATCATCCCTAAAGTTTTTAGGGTAACTCCACGTCAATCACCCCTATTCCTTTTCCTCAGCGTAAGAAGCGAGTTTCCCGACCTTGTGGAGAAGAGATTGGTCAAAAGGTTATATTGAGGGTCATTATAGCTTTTTGAGTAACATGCCAGTAATTCAATATCATTTTGATCAACATCTAATTTTTAAAAACTGACATGCCAAATCATATGAGGGAAAAGGAAAAAGTGAAGCAACCATGATTTATAATTCAAATTGTCAGCCATTTATTAGAGTGTAAGAAGAAACCTTTGATCTTTCCAGCACGTGCAAGCTTGTATAAGCCCTTAGGGTCCCTTGCTTCACATACTCGGAGAGGCACATCCATGAACACCTGCAAGTCATAAGATTTGTCTGTTAATTAATGGCAACATGATGCCTCTTGCCCTGTCCAAAACTCCTTCCCTCTTTCTACCAGTAGTCGCTAAGCAAACTTATGCAAGACTCAAATTCTTTTCAAGCAGAGGAGCAACCTCAATGAAATCTCCTTCCGGCAGTAAGGCACGGCAAGCATCTCGTTCCGTTCTGTATGGAGATATCAAGCTAGCAATGCAAATAACTCCAGCATCCGCAAAGAGCTTCGCTACCTCCCCTGAAAATGAAAGAACATTTAAGATTTAGAAAAGCATAAATGAAATGGTCAATAAATTATATACAGCTATCAACTCAAAAGAGCACCCACCAACCCTTCTTATGTTTTCTGCACGATCTTCTGCTTTGAAACTAAGATCACTATTCAGACCATGGCGAACATTGTCACCGTCAAGTATGTAGGTCAGCTTTCCTCTGGCATGCAAGCCCCGACTTAAAGCACAGGCCAATGTGCTTTTTCCTAAAATTAGAGTTGAACTTTTAAATATGGAAAATGAGATACTAGGTCATAACAATGGCACAAACAATAAATACCAAAAGAACCAATGAAACAAAAATTGATTTAATAGAATGGTTCCCAAAAAAGTAAGAAGAAAGAAATAAATTTTCATGAAAAGGAGTATGCTACTCCCGCTAGAACTTTCTTTAAGTATCCCAAATTACATCCCCAGAATCATTATCAGAAATATGTACTCCAATATTTCTTTGGTACCAGGGAAAGATTCATCATAGTAACAACCGGATTCATCCTGGTTTTTACAGGTCAAGTACAACCCTTCCTAATACTCGTATTTTCCAGATATTGCTACCTGTATCATATTTAGAGTCCTGACTTGGCTAACTTAAGCTCATGGGAAAGAGGATTGCATTTGGTAGACAGTTGCAGTCACTAATGTTGAAAATTTCCAAGAGCAATAAACTTTTTGCTTGTTAAGGATAATAAAAACCCAATACTTTGCAATCAAACAAACTTCTATGCAATAACCTCGAAAAAATAATACCCAGAGTATGTGGCTTACTATGCGCATTAAAATTATGCAATAGACCCTATTCAGACATGTATTAGATCTTCCCTTAGAAGGGATAGCAAAATGCAGTTACACATCGCAAAGGGGGAAGAAATGCATGCATTCATTTTCACAGGGATATCAATGTCGAAACCCTAAACAGAAATGCTTTTCAGCAGCATACTCAAATTAATTCAAAAGGAGGTCTAACAAGCTACAGTTTCTCACTTGAAATTTTTTTAATTAGTTTTGTCAATACAATCAGTAGTTACAAGAAAATACTCACTTAAATATCAATAGCAGATTTTTGTTTCAACTACCAAATTTCAGGTTAATAACTTCTAATAAAGGCATGCCTAGGACATGAAGATGACAGCATCCTAATGGGTGTCCTCAGCTTGTCACCTCATCCCATTGGGATATCCTCGGCTTGTCACCTCATCCCATTGGGATATTCTCGGCTTGTCGGTAAAACCACGTGCATTAAAATAAAATGGACAAAGAAAAATTAAATGCAACATAACACTTGAATGATACTGAAAATCCTATTTAAAAAAAAGAAAAAGAAAAAAAGTATCAAAACTATGATTCACGAATATGTTAAGAATCTATTGTTGCAACAATAAACCCCATTAATCGACATCTTAATAGAAAATTAATTAAAACAAGTACAAGAAGTCATACACCATAGATCCAGCACCTACTAGCAAATTTATTGAATCAAGTACTAGAAGTCATACCCCATAGCAAATTCATTGAAACAAGTTCAAGTTCCAATTAATTAGGATGCTGAAAATTATGTCTTACAAAAATGCACACAAAAAAAAAAAAAAAAAAAAAAAGAAAAAAAAAGAAAAAGAAAAAAGAAAGTCATTTGGCTCAAGCTGTGATCAAAAAGTATTCAATGCCAAATAAAAGGTTAGGTATACAAACCTGAACCACTGAGACCTGTAATCCAAATGACACAACCTTTTTGCTGAAGTAATTCCTGTCTGTCAATTTTCTCAACTGAACATTTATGCCAGACAATGTTCGTTGAATTTCTGATTGTGGACATCTTGCGTATGCTCTTACCTAGTTAGATAATCAGTTGAAACTTAGAATCTAAATTAAAACTAAAGAAGAAACCATTTCTTGATCTATAAAAATACATTACAACTATATACATACATAGTCCATATGCACAATGTAAAGAACAAAAAAATTAGGAATTACATGTAAAAGTAGCGAGTATAAAAAGTAAAATAGAAACACATAAAAGTCCGTGGGTTAGAAGCAAGAAGATAAGCTGCAAAAAGTCATAAATCAAATTGTAGAATATATGAATACACCTTTAAGCAACTACGGAGTATATAAATTCATTGAACAAATGCACTATATATGAATATATTATTGTATAATTCAAATTTCATTATACAAACAATGTAGAATTAGAAAAATCGGTAACTAAAAATACCATTAGAATCAATATTGAGTTTGTCATCGCTTGGATTGAAGCCGGTGTAGTGCAAATCCTGGACAACATCGACTTTGCCGTTGACATACGGCATTCTAGAGTCCTTCATTGCCTTAATTGGCGAGAAAACGCTGGATCTGAGCAGAGCACCATGGAGTCCCAAGCTTTTACCGTCACAATTCGGCACCGACAACTTCAGAAACCCTAGCTTCGGCGACGGCAGGTCATCGGAACCAAAATCCTGCAAAGAATAACAAAACAACGGCCGATTTCCCACTGCAGTCATATCCCTGGATCAATCGGCGGAGAAACAATCCACCGGCGGTGTGTGGAGAGAGATCGAAGAGATTCAGAATTTATAAGAGTGCAGAAGCTCTCATCAATGAAACGGGCGAGTGAATTAGAGAGAGAAAATTTAGATAGAGAGAGATGTGGTTAATAATGCCACAATGAAGATCTTTTAATTAACGGTTTCTGTTTACTATATGGAGAGAGAGAGAGAGAGAGAGTGATACACATATAATCATATATATGTGTATATATATGTGTGTGTAATTGTGAAATGTGTAACTGTATATGTGTGTGTAATTGTTATGTTTATATGAGTGGTGGACAGCGAGGGAAGCTCACACACATATATAGGGGGAGAAGAGCGGTTGGTTCTTCGTCTACTACCATCAGAATCTTATTAGCTCTTGAACTTATGATTCTGCAACAGCTTCATTATATATATATATATATACATATGTATATATATGTATAAATATATATAAAATAGTATAATCTATATACTAGAGACAGAGGTATTGAGTCACTGTCGCAATGAATGGTACGAACCTGACTCACAAAGCCACAATGTAATTTGATTAATCCAGCATGGCAATTGCTAGTTCCACGCGCTTCTTACAGCGCGTGTAGATAGATATAATATAATAAGAAGCGCGTGCAGATAGATATAATAATACACACGTGACACGTACCACTAGTTCGTGGGACCGCGCTTTATCGTGAGCGTCACAGTGGGTAGGCACGTATTTCTTGCACATTTAACTTATTGGTTAAATATAAAGGGGTTGAGTACCTAAGTGACTAAAGACTAACGCAATTTTTTTAATAGGCGTCACTTTAACGCTTTGAGTGCATTATTGCTTTCACATTTTATGTGAGTTTTTGATTAAATTTTTACTGTTTATGATTTAATTACGACGTTTGCTTTCAAATTTACTTTCGTTTCCGTTTTATGTGACTTAGGGTAGAACTGGTTGGGCGGGCAAAGGTAAACACACTCTAAACCAAATTTCTAATATCATAGCCCGCGTCAAGTTCAAGTTTCGAGAAATTATCGTGTCTCAACCCGCGTTATACCGCACAGGTTTCATAAGTTTTTGGAGTTTTTTTCAGGTTATTTTAAATTTTAATAATATACTAACAAATAAATATTAAAAATAAATAAATAAATAATCGTCCAAAGAGGGTGTGTGAGTACAAGTCTCATGTTCACCTGCTAAAATCAACAAAGGTGCAACAACAATAACCAAGTATGTGTAATATGATCTTCTAGCAATAATATGATCTCATAGGATGAATTCATGATCGATGATTGTTGGGATTTATATGCCCTGGCATAGCAAATTCCTGTTTGGGTTAAAGTGACATATGTTCCTGACGTTTCTGAAATATTTATGTTTTATACAATTGGTGAATTCAATGTATTATATTTCGATTCATTATAGAATTGATAGTGTCCATTTGATTACAAGAAATATTTATATATATGTATGTGATGGCAATCAATGCATGATATATAAATAGTAATTATAAATGGTTCATAGTTGGTAATTATGGATGGACTCATAATTAATTAAAATTTAAACTGGATCCACGTTAGGTTGAGATATATTGCGAGAGCCGTCGTATGCAATTGCTCCCTATCACCGTCATGGCATTTGACTCTTAAGTATGAAAAAATTATAAACTCTTTTATTAATTAATAATTACTTTGATTTGTTCGGCAGATTTTTCGGGATCCTTAGATCAACACTTTAGGTAGTTATGTAATTAATAGTTAGAGGGTTATATTTTCATTATTTGTATCATTGCTACTTGTATTTATTTTGTGTTGATTATGGTTGATCACAAAGTAAATTCGAAGGCCTTCGTATGTTTTTTAGACAAAATGATTTATTATATATTTATTTATTTAAATTATTATTTTTGTCAAACAAATGTTTTATTGTGATCGAGCCAAAAGTAATCAATGGTACCAAAATAAATATATTAATTAAGTAGTCGGATTGATGGGTTTATTTATCCGATAACTAATTATGCATAGAGGGGTCAAAGTGCAATATTGACTTAGTGGTTATTTATTATTTAATTGGAGTTCAATTAATTTCTTTTAGTGGAGTAGAAATTAATTTATGAATTAATTGAATTGGGTCCATGGACGTGGCCAATTATTAATTCATTATAACCAATAAAATAATAGGTCCAATGGATTCTCACTCATAACCCAACTTGATATTGGAATCCTATTAGATTTGAGACATGTGAATTAGAGATTGAGAAGGATTTGTTATTTCCTTTTCTTTATCTTTTTGTTGCCTATAAATATACATGGTCTATGTATATTTTTGGGGTGTGATTTTTGGAAGAAGGAAAAAGGAATAAGTTTTTTCTCTCTAGAAAATTAGGGTTAGTGTTCTCATCTAATGGAGGCTCCCACAAGCCTAGTTTTCCAAGGTCATTCATGGAGGCTTATGAGTGATTCCTAAAGGCAAGACTATTACCAAGAAGATGGAGATCCGTGGAAAAGGAGTCTAGCAAAAGGGATCTACAATAAGTGAGAACATTCACTTTAGAGGAGAGATCTAAGGTTTACTCAAACCTTGATGTAAGTATTCATCTTTTAATTGAATGATACATCATATTTTATTTTTGTATTAAACTTGTCTCTATGTAATGAATCAAGATCTATGAATTAAAATTTCTCGAAAAGTTTTTAAAATTAGCACGTTTCCCAACAATGATACCATAAATAATGTAATTTTAAATATAAAAGTTATAAAGTATTTTTATATTTTGGGTTCAATGGATTTTTTTGGGTTTCTCGGGTTCCTATAATCTTTGTCTAAATTTTCTCAAAATAAATTCGGACAGTAAAGTTTTAATCAATTCCCATCCCATAGTCTCAAGTATCTTACTCATTATTGTAAAAATTTTAGGCGGGAATTGGGTTGCTCGGGTTAGTCCCACCCCTATATGGCTACATAAAACATCCCAACCTTCCCAAACTGGACCAAATGGGAATTCATGTTTCATTGAAGAGGATTCGAGTTGATATAAATCTTAGGTTTCGCGGGAAAAAATATATTGTATATGTGTATATACAAGTATGAAATAAAAATATACAATAATACAAATATGAAATAAATGTTAGAAAACATTTCATAATATTCTTATAATATTTTTAAATATACATATGTAGAATAATGATTTAAGAACTGAATTTGGTAATTATTGAATTCAATTTATGCAAGTGTAGATGGCACCATGACACCATGTGATGGACCCACCCCCCTCTCACATAATTTAAATTCTGTAATTGCCAAATTCAATTTCTAAATCACTACTCATATATATATATATATATATTAAAATCTAATTATTTTAACTTTTATATTCAATTTCTATATATATATATATATATATATATATATATATATTATATAATTGCCAAATTGCCAAATTCAATATATATATATATATATATATTAAAATCTAATTATTTTGATTCATTAATTACGTTTTAAATGCGTCGACATATATATACATATATGCATGTATTTGGGTAGTTTTATATATCAATAGGTGAAATGTTTTCTGCATTTATTATACTTTACATTTAGTATTCACAAAAAATTTATTTGATTCACTCAACTAACTGTTTTAAGTTCATTTCATCACAATTATCAAATACATTTTGATAAGTACGATACATGTACGGATTTGTTCAAATTCATTGCCTTGGAACATGAATTTTGTTAATTCATGTATGTATTTGACATTTGGAAACATTTATGAGACTTAATAGGTCTATGTTAGGACCACCATTCCCTCTTCAAGTATGGTAAAGTTCAATCCATATATGAAATTTCTATGTATATATATATATACACACACACACACACACATATGTACAAATAAATATGAGAGAGACTGGTTGGTATGTTTTGTTTTTGTTTTTGTTTTTTTTTTTTTTTTTAAACCTTGTGCTTGTACAGTTGTATACGTCTCAGAATCAATGATTTCACACATGGACTTGCTTGCTAATTAATTATCAATTCCAAAATTCAATACTTAAAAAGGAATGTTAATTTTGTTGGAGTTATGTTTTAAATTAAATTTATTAGGTTTAATTATCTTTCATTTAATGAAAGCCTTTAAGTTTACAACTTGTTTTAAAGCAATACTTTGAATCCGATACATTTAATATAGTAGCTTTACTCCTATTAAGTTATTAAGTTCATTAGTGTTAAGTAATATATACATTATGTACACGAGTATAAATACAACATGTGCTTACACTCTAAGACCTATCATTACCATTTTAAGTGACGCTATTTTTCAAATTATTAGTTTTGACTCTGATTATTATATTTTAAATTGATTAGTGAATATGTAAATTCACGAAATGAAATGTAACATCATAAAATAACTTTGTGACATCTTGAGGGATGTTATTCATCCAATCTTGAAAAAAAATTCATCCATATGATACTAAATTTTTTCCCGGATAATTTATGAAATTGTTTATAACAAGAAATTTCCTTAACTTGTAGAGTTTTGTAGCAAATCCCATTTTTAAACTTTTTTTTTTTCCTGTCAAAAAACTCCTTCCAAATTTTTGCTGCACTCCTCTCTTTCTCCCTTTGTAATTGAAGTACTTGAATAATATCTTTATTCATTGTCTAATTCGATAGATTTTAGGACAGTGTAACTTGACGATACTTTCTCGCTTTCAAATTCTCTCTGCTTTAAACTCAAATGATCAATTTTAGTGTACCACTACGGATTATAGATTTATTAGTAATTTTTTACTAAACAATGCCCGTGTGCATGCACCTAACCCTTGCTATCATTCTCTTTTTTAATTTGTAATTTATTTTGAAAATCATGTCACATTTTATTAATTTTATAAAATAATTTAAACTTTTCATTTTCTTCCACTCCTATATAAAAATCTACTCAACAGAAGAAATAAGTCCCCCCTCCCCCAACTAATCGAGTGGGTTATTTTTACCAACATAAATCATAATTATGAATTTCATTTATTTTTAAATTTTTTTTAATTAAAAGTATAGTGATGCTTTTAACATAAAATATATATATAAATCAATAAAATAAAAATTCTTATGTTTTTTTTTTTTTTTTTTTTTTTTTCACAAGCTCCAGTTTGTAGGTGAAGCCTTAAACATGTGATAAATATATGGCCTTAATTTATAATCATTAATCAGAAGAGTAAATCATTCCGAAAGAGATCTCACATATCTCAATGTATGTGTATTATTATATATAGAACACCAACAAAATGACGCACTTCATTTTTTATAATCATATAAATTTTTTTAAAAAATAAAACCAGATTAGCTTCAACTATATAAGTAAAAGGGAAATAAAGGAAAAATCATTTATTGCGTGTAATATATTAA